ATGTGTTGAAACATGATATAAATGTAGGTGATGCTGCTCCAATCAAACAGCACCCTTATCGTGTGAATTCAACCAAGAGGGGAGTGATGAAGAAAGAGGTAACTTATTTAGTGGAAAATGAGATGGCAATCCCCAGTGGCAGTCCTTGGAGTTCCTCCTGTCTGCTGATTCCAAAGCCTGACGGGACTCAAAGGTTTTGCACTGACTAGAAAAGTGAATAATGTTACTATACCTGACTCATTCCCTTTACCTCGCATGTACGACTGTATAGACACTATTGGATCGGCTGCGTATGTTACTAAGCTTGACTTGTTAAAAGGTTATTGGCAGGTGCCTTCAAAGGAGGTGTCTGCTTTTGTAACCCCTGACAGTTTCTGACAGTACACGGTAATGGCTTTTGGAATGAGGAATGCCCCGGCCACGTTTCAACGTTTGGTAAATATTGTATTGGCTGATGTTCCTGATTGTACCGCATATCTTGATGACCTGGTTGTTCATTCGACTACCTGGCTTGATCACATGAGCACATTGAGGGCTGTGTTTGCACGCTTGGCCAGCGCTCCTTTGACCCTTAACCTAGCCAAATGTGAGTTTGGAAAGGCTACTGTTACCTATTTGGGTAAAGAGGTGGGTCGGGGTCAGGTGCGTACCGTAACAGCTAAAGTGGACGCTATCACCCGGTTTCCTGCCCCTGCCACTAGACGGGAGTTACGCAGATTCTTAGGCATGACGGGTTATTATCATACATTTCTCAACTGTTGTAGCCCCAATGACTAGGTTACTCAGTCCTTCAGTGTCCTTTGAGTGGACTGCTGAGTGTCAATCTGCTTTTGACACTGTAAAAGCACAATTGTGTACTTCTCCTGTTCTTTCGTGTTTTTCTTTCTCCCCATTTTCCTTTGTAGTGTGTTTGTGTGTTCTGGGCATCAGTGGCGGCTCCTGAAAAAATTCTCAGGAGGGGCAATTTTTCTGATGATTTAGGTGACCTACACACGTGCACGAGTCCGTGCACGCGATTCCAGATATCTTTACCTCTGAATAAACTGCCTTTATTATACCATATCCACCCTGTCCAAAGTCTCTACTTGGTCTCAGTTCTCCAGTAAACTTGTGATTATCAACAGTACACAACGGTAACAAACAATTGGGGGAACTCACGGGGCAGATAGTAACCACTTAAAAGGAAGCGATTCCCAAACCTTCCATAACAAAGCCATCACCTACAGAGAGATGAACTTGGAGAAGAGTCCCCTAAGTAAGCTTGTCCTGGGCCTCTGTTCACAAACACAAACAGACCCCACACAGCCCCAGGACAACAACAACAACAACAACAACAACACAATTAGACCCAACCAAATCATGAGAAAACAAAAAGAGAATTACTTGACACATTGGAAAGAACAAACAAAAAAACAGAGCAAACTAGAATGCTATTTGGCCCTAAACAGAGAGTACACAGTGGCAGAATACCTGACCACTGTGACTGACCCAAACTTAATGAAAGCTTTGACTATGTACAGACTCAGTGACCATAGCCTTGCTATTGAGAAAGGCCGCCGTAGGCAGACCTGGCTCTCAAGAGAAGACAGGCTATGTGCACACTGCCCACAAAATGAGGTGGAAACTGAGCTGCACTTCCTAACCTCCTGCCAAATGTATGACCATATTAGAGACACATATTTCCCTCAGATTACAGCGATCCACAAAGAATTCGAAAACAAACCCAATTTTGATAAACTCCCTTATCTACTGGGTGAAAAACCACAGTGTGCCATCACAGCTGCAAGATTTGTGACCTGTTGCCACAAGAAAAGGGCAACCAGTGAAGAACAAACACCATTGTAAATACAACCCATATTTATGTTTATTTATTTTCCCATTTGTACTTTAACTATTTGCACATTGTAACAACACTGTATATATACATAATATGACATTTGAAATGTCTTTATTCTTTTGAAACTTCTGAGTGTAATGTTTACTGTTAATATTTATTGTTTATTTCACTTTTGTTTACTATCTACTTCCCTTGCTTTGGCAATGTTAACACACGTTTCCCATGCCAATAAAGCCCTTAAATTGAATTGAATTGATAGTAAGGTCGCAATGACACAGAAAGCAGTTCAATGTCGGGGTACAGAGTCGCTCTCTTACCAGGATCGCGGTCCGCTCTGACCAGGGTGAAGGTGGCCGGCTCCACTTCTCTGTCCGGGACTCATCCAGCCAAGTCTCCCAGCTGTATTGGGATTCAGCTGCCAGCAGCGTTTTCATTATTTAGTCCGTTCGTAGCGGGTATGTACACGATCAACAAGATCAGTCCAAAACCAACCACTGGAAATCCATGGTTGGCAGAATGTTTGTAAACTAAGTCTACAAATTAAAAACATAAAATAACGCCGCACTGCAGGTCGCAACAGAGACGCTTCTAGCCGCCATTGTCTTAGTTACGTTCAACGTTACGTCACGTATGACGAAAGCGCGTAAGTGCAAGCCCACAGACACCCATAGAGAATGTATTGAAAGCTTTGAAATGTGAAAAAAATAGATTTTACATGACAGGCTATGAGAGACTTCTGGGCGATTTTCAACTTGACTGAAATCGCCCCAAAACGGGCGGGGCCATTTGAAGCACGACTTTAGCCTGATTTGACATTTAGTGGCTGGCAGATCAGACGTGAACACTGATAACTGCTGTTGCCGTGATATAATTGATTAGAAAAAAAATCCCTTCCTTTTCCCGTTTGGCAGTGCGTCGCCCATATCGCCCTATTGAACAAGCCGTCCCTGCTGGGCATTACAGGTGTGCTGAGTTGCGGCTGATGATGGTGGGCGTGGCTTCGGTCCGGAGTCCTGGCAGCTGTAGCTGATAGGACGAGAGTATACCTGTTTGCCGTGTGAGCTCGAAGAGGGGGGGAGAGGGCACTTGTTGTTTGGCTATTGGTTGTGTTCATTTATCTTTGTTTGTGTTCCAGCCTGTCCTCCTGATGTACTCCAACCTACCTAGGTCCTGGAGAAGGGAAAGGTAGATCTGCCCATGGGTGTACATTCACATGTAGATAACCCATTGTTTTACACACTAGGTTAGCCGGGCGGGTGTCACTCCTGTATTTTTTGGTAAACAGGCAGGAAAGTGGGTTAGGGTTAGAGTGTGATAGGAAGGTTTAGGTGTGTAGAAGAGGAGGGACCTTTTGTTTATTTTCATTAATTGGACCCCATTCCCAAATATTCCCTTCTCTTACCTTCCCTGGTTTGTTTGATTGAGTTTTGTTTCATTACTGTTTCTTTATGGGTGTTGTATATTTTGTTTAAGTACCTTACTAAACGTCCCCCAAGGGCTAATCTTGAGATCTGGATGTTGTCTGGTTATTTTAGTTCATTACCCCCCCACATTTCTTCCCCATCCATCTAGTTTACCTTGTGCACAGGCATTTACGTCTCCTCCTCAGACGAACTACACCCGAGGGGAGAACGTAACAACCACCAATATCCAAATGCCACATTAAGTATCTTCTCACCGAAGGACAGAAACGTCACAGAATAAACTTTTCCGTCTCCTCAGAGTGGCAAAAGGATAAAGGTTGTCTGCCCTCGTCATATTAACCCTTCAAACGTCCCCTCCCTCAGAAGTCTCTATCTCTGGCCTGCCAGATAGGAGCGTTTAGCGGTCTAGCACCCTCAACCTGCACACAGACAAATTGGCAGCAATCAAAGCCTACTGAGCCCTCAGACGAATCAGCACAGTCCTGCTGTTTGTTTTGTTTTGGGCTGCGGTTTGCCTCATAATGTGTCTGTTGTTTCTCCCACTCTCTCCCCCCCCCCCCCCCCTCTCTCGCTCTCCCCCCCCCCCCCCCCCCCCCCCCCCATTGGCTTTTATTATGTTCCAGTTGCTGAGCAAGTGAACCTGCTCATAAAGCCATAATAATGCAGAATGCTTTTGGAATCTAATGGAAGTCAATCTAGATAAGATATACCCTTGAGATATACCTTGTTGGTTACATAAGCTGATACTGAATACATGAGTAAACAGTTTGCTTCATGTAAAGCACTCAAGGGCCCCCTACACATTCAGATTGTAAAACTTATTTACAACGCATTTGACACAATGGTTGTGATACAACAGATATTTTTCTGATACAATGGACTGTTTTGTCTGTGTTGCTTGTGTTGTTATTTTTGTACAGAATAACTCTCTGTCATATCACAACGGTTGTGCCAAATGCGTTATACATTCCTTGCACAATTTAAGTGTGTACGGGTCCAAGAATACTAATATTTTCTCCCCTGTTGAGAAAGTGACTGTAGCAGACAACTTATCACTATGCATTGCCTTTCAATTTAAACCGAGCTGTAACACGGATCTTCTGCGATACTTCTGCTATATGGATTAAATCCAGCCCAAAGCCTTCTATCTCTCCTTCATCTGGCTTTCATTCAGGGCAGGAGCTGGCCTTGGTGCCAGACAGAATAAAGGCACAGTGATTATGATGCCTTTGTATCAGCTGTTTTGCTGGGGCTTATTTTGTCTTTTTTTACTAGTGAGAAGTTACTTTCTGCTCACTCTACCAGAAATGTGTGACATGTTTTCACTAAATAAGAAGACATGTTGCAGTTGTATTTTTAGGATACTTTGAGGAATTGCACATTTGGGCCATATGTTAAACAACATACAGTATCTGGTACTGTATATCAATAAGATCTCTCTCAGGTAATCTAGGGAAATCCAGAGGTAAACCTATTATTTCATTATTGATGATCTCAAAACGTTCTAAATATGCAGTAAGCCATACGTGCATCTATCATTGGTGACTGAACTTATTTAGGGGGTGATACTGACGTCACCTTTCTCAGAAAAAGTGCAAGACGGTATGTAACCTGATGAAATAGTTTGTTTTGGTTCGTGCTCTCGCACGTTCTCTCTCTCTCTCTCTCTCTCTCTCTCTCTCTCTCTCTCTCTCTCGCTCTCTCTCTCTCTCTCTCTCCCTCCCTCTATTTCTATGTCTCTCTCGCTCTCTCTCTTGCTCTATCTATCTTGTAGCCTCCACATTCAGCATTCAGCGCAGCGTGGTGAGATCAGATGGCACAAAGCGTCTGAGCAGAGCAGGATAGCTACGTACTGGTGCGGGCTGCAGATCTGTCTGTCGTCGCCAGTGAGTGAGTGAGGTCGCCTGCTGAATCTCTGGAGGAAGTGCACCTGCATGCCAAGAAGCGAGTGCCTAAGCTGCGCACCTTGGCTCTGCCGCGTCCGTCTTGTCTGTTTACCCCGCGGCGCTCTAACACTTTTTCTTACTGCCTGTGAGGGGTGCAGATGAAGACACACACAGGAGGGAGAACTACTGAGAGAGGACCCACACTCATCCTCCGCACACAGATCTGAGGTACGCAATCTGATATCATACCGAGTTTATTTGGTCGGGTAAGCAATTTAAATTGGACGTTTTTGTTTCCCAATGAGTTGCGTTTTCTATGACCTTCGCATTTGAATTTAAGAGGGGATATTTGGATTGAGTCCGCAGTTAAAATTTCTGTAGTCACAGTGAATTGTTTGAATGCAGATGTGTGATTAGATCCCGATTTAAGAAACATGTTTGCGCACTACAGTGCGGGGCTCTTTGACTAATTTTTGAGGTCGTAATTTCAGGTCCATGGATAGTTCCCATGCACGCAGCGGTGTCCGGCTCAAAGGAATTTCACTTCACTCAAACGTTCAACTTGTAGCTGTAATACAAAGTGACGTGATCAATAGTTATCTCTGCAAATTATTTATTTTATCTCACCATTGATGGACAGTTTATTGGTCTGTTTTATTTCATCATTGTTTCTGATCGATATCTTTTCGCGGATCAGAGCAATGGGAAGTTGTTTTCGTTCGGTGACTCTCGCTCTCTCGCTCAATTCAATTCACAGGTCTTTATTGGCACGGGAAACATATGTTTACATTGCCAAAGCAAGGGAAATAGACAATAAAAAATGAACAGTAAACATTACACTCACAAAAGTTCCAAAATACACTTGTCTATATGCAGTGTTGTAACGATGTGCAAATAGTTAAAGTACAAAAGGGAAAATAAATCAACATAAATATGGGTTTTATTTACAATGTTTTTTGTTCTTCACTGGTTGCCCTTTTCCTGTGGCAACAGGTCACAAATCTTGCTGCTGTGATTGCTCTCTCTCTCTCTCTCTCTCTCTTTCTTTGTGTGTGCGTGTGTGAAAGAGAGAGAGAATTCGTCGGGCCGGGAAATTATAGGGAATCGCGCTGCTGCTTGTCGCCCTGTCACATTTGAATCAACTGCACAATAGAGCGCCAATTAAATGACATGGTGTCGCCGCCGACAATCTGTTTATAGACTACCTGCATTGTCCTCTGCAAGTCGACAACCCCAAAATGACAAATGCCACCCTCTAAAGTTGGTTAGTTTGAATCCCCGAGCCAACTAGGTGAAAAATCTGTCAATGTGCCCTTGAGCTAGCCGCTTAACCCTAATTGCTCCTGTAAGCTGTTCTGTATAAGAGCATCTGCTAAAATTATTATTAAAAACTAATTCAACCCTGATTGAAAGGATCAGTGGTGTCTGAATTCACAAATGTTTTATATCTTGTGTATTTTGTAGCCTGTAGCCATATCGCCTATTAGTGTGATGGAATCTCTATTGAGAAAGTGTGTCCAAATGGTCCTCCCCTTCATCCATCTTTGGTAAATGATTTAAAATACTTCATTTCAATTTATATTATGCCCATTTAGCTAACTAATTAAGTCTGGATTGCACAGATATGTTTTGGAAGAGCACGTTCTCTTATAGACTGGTAATATAATTATTCAATATGCCTAGAGAGACCAAGATAATAAGCACATTTTCTACAAAATGAAGGTTTGCTTTTACTGTTGCAAAAATGGTCTGCAGTTTCGACTAGTCCATTTGAATTCTATACAGTACATTTTGTTCATCTGTAGACCTAAATCCTCTAAGGCTGGACATTTCCCAGCAAACTGGCTGTAGTTCCATGTATTATAGACTGGTCTATAAATCCCCCTACAAACCCCAGTCACAGTGAAGCCCTCCATGGATAGGTTTATGAGTTATGAGACTAAAGGAATGGGGCTCTGGAGAAATGTGCGGCTATCAGCAGGTTGCAAGTCTTATAGAAATAGATACACGTCAATACGTAGCCTAGAAACAGAACATCACAACCGTAGAGCTGAAGTATAGGCTACTATCGGTCAACACTGTGTCATATATTAATTCAATCAGGGGTAGTACCAGGAGGGTCTTGACTGAAACTAACTGACTGAATATGCTTCAGCCACTTCTAACCATCCAGTTGTATAACAGATTGGGTGTAGGTCTGATGACACGCTTGTAACATAGAGGATGCTTATGGGCCAGGCAATATGGATTGCTGGGCATATACAGTAGGACAGGCCTTTTTCACAAGTTGAGGTGTTTTGTAGCCGTCACATTTTTCTCTTTTGTTGACAGTTTGCCCCTCTGATGTTTTTTACCACCTCCTTTTTTACCAGTGATGATGTCAGGAACCTTGAACACAATCAGCACTGAATCATCAGCAAATGGCGTCTATAAAATGTCCTTCTTACTCATTCCCTCACCAATCACCTTGTTGCTAATTGGGGAATTTTCATACCCAATATGACACAGATCATTCGTTTTTATAAGTCACACTAAAGTGGAGCATGTCTAAATTTGACTTTTGACTCACTGCCTGGTGTGAGTGAGTGACAGGGTTGTGAATGTAAATAGAAGACTGTCTCAGTATTCAGTCTGGCTTTAGTCTGCCATGGTGAATGTTTCCTGTCAGAGTTCAGAGGCTACAGATAATGAAATGGTAGAATCAGATTATAACTAGTAGATGTCTTTGTGTGTGTGTGTGTGTGTGGATGTGTGTTCATGTACAAGCATCTGTAAAGCTGGATGAGAGAGCGGGAGATATATATATATATACAGTACCAGTCAAACGTTTGGACACACCTACTCATTCCAATGTTTTTCTTTATTTTTACAATGTTCTACATTGTAGAATAAGAGTGAAGAAATCAAAACTATGAAATAACACATGGAATCATGTAGTAACCAAAAAAGTGTTAAATAAATCAAAATATATTTGAGATTTGAGACTCTTCAAAGGAGCCACCCTTTGCCTTGATGACAGCTTTGCACACGCTTGGCATTCTCTCAACCAGCTTCATGAGGTAGTCACCTGGAATGCATTTCAATTAACAGGTGTGCCTTGTTTACATTACATTTACATTTTAGTCATTTAGCAGACGCTCTTATCCAGAGCGACTTACAGTTAGTGCATACATTATTTTATCGAACCCACAACCCTGGCGTTGCAAACGCCATGCTCTACCAACTGAGCTACATCCCCTGCCGGCCAAATCCCTCCCCTACCCTGGACGACGCTGGGCCAATTGTGCGCGCCGCCCCATGGGTCTCCCGGTTGCGGCCGGCTACGACAGAGCCTGGATTCGAACCAGGATCTCTAGTGGCACAGCTAGCACTGCGATGCAGTGCCTTAGACCACTGCGCCACTTGTTAAAAGTTAATTTGTGGAATTTCTTTCCTTCTTAATGCGTTTGAGCCAATCAGTTGTGTTGTGACAAGGCAGGGGTGGTATACAGAAGATAGCCCTATTTGGTTAAAAAAATGTCCATATTATGGCAAGAACAGCTCAAATAAGCAAAGAGAACATGAAGACATGAAGGTCAGTCAATCCGGAAAACGTCAAGAACTTTGAAAGTTTCTTCAAGTGCAGTCGCAAAAACCATTAAGCGCTATGATGAAACTGACTCATGAGGACCGCCACAGGAAAGGAAGACCCAGAGTTACCTCTGCTGCAACTTCAGATTGCAGCCCAAAAAAATGCTTCACAGAGTTCAAGTAACAGACACATCTCAACATCAACTGTTCAGAGGAGACTGCGTGAATCAGGCCTAAAGGACACCAATAAGAAGAAGAGACTTGCTTGGGCCAAGAAACACGAGCAATGGACATTAGACTGGTGGAAATCTGTCCTTTGGTCTGATGAGTCCAAATGTGAGATTTTTGGTTCCAACTGCCGTGTCTTTGTGAGACGCAGAGTAGGTGAACGGATGATCTCCACGTGTGTGGTTCCCACCATGAAGCATGGAGGAAGAGGTGTGATGGTGTGGGGGTGCTTTGCTGGTGACACTGTCAGTGATTTATTTAGAATTCAAGCAGCGATATGCCATCCCATCTGGTTTGCGCTTAGTGGGACTATCATTTGTTTTTCAACAGGACAATGACCCAAAACACACCTCCAGGCTGTGTAAGGGCTATTTGACCAAGAAGGAGAGTGATGGAGTACTGCATCAGATGACCTGGCCTCCACAATCACCCGACCTCAACCCAATTGAGATGGTTTGGGATGAGTTGGACCGCAGAGTGAAGGAAAAGCAGCCAATAAGTGCTCAGCATATGTGGGAACTCCTTCAAGACTGTTGAAAAAAAGCATTCCTCATTAAGCTAGTTGAGAGAATGCCAAGAGTGTGCAAAGCTGTCATCAAGGCAAAGGGTGGCTACTTTGAAGAATCTGAAATATAAAATATATTTTGATTTGTTTAACACTTTTTTTGGTAACTACATGATTCCATATGTGTTATTTCATATTTTGGATGTCTTCACTATTATTCTACAATGTAGAAAATAGTAAAAATAAAGAAAAACCCTTGAATGAGTAGGTGTGTCCAAACTTTGTGTGTATATATATAGTTTGTTGTTTATTTCTTATTTTTATTTAATTAAATGTATCGACCGAAGAGTACACAATACAACAGCAGTAGTGTTGTACCTGTATACATGATTATATGTACTATTATTATTACTACTGAAATTAACTGTATTTCATTATCCCCATTGCATTGTACTGTATTTACTGAAATGCTGTACCACTATACTGCTTTGGCAATATCTACAAATTGTATTTCATTCCAATAAAGCAATCTGAATTTGAATTTGAATTTGACTGAGAGAGAGAGCGAGAGACTGCGAGAGACTGAGAGAGATAGAGAGAGACTGAGAGTACCCTGTTCTGAAAATATGAATCACAGAGATCATCAGCTTTCATATTTTCTATTTTTCGTTTATCTATTTTGTCACTTTGTCCCATTTTTATTCCAAAATCTCCTCAATTACCATTTTTTTCTCTCTCTCTATCTCTCTCTCTTTCTCTCTCTCTCTCTCAATTCAATTTCAATTTAAGGGCTTTATTGGCATGGGAAACATATGTTAACATTGCCAAAGCAAGTGAAGTAGATAGTAAACAAAAGTGAAATAAACAATAAATATTAACAGTAAACATTACACTCAGAAGTTCCAAAAGAATAAAGACATTTCAAATGTCATATAATGTATATATACAGTGTTGTAACAATGTGCAAATAGTTAAAGTACAAATGTATTTACAATGGTGTTTGTTCTTCACTGGTTGTCTCTAATATGGTCATACATTTGACAGGAGGTTAGGAAGTGCAGCTCAGTTTCCACCTCATTTTGTGGGCAGTGTGCACTTAGCCTGTCTTCTCTTGAGAGCCAGGTCTGCCTACGGTGGCCTTTCTCAATAGCAAGGCTATGCTCACTGAGTCTGTACATAGTCAAAGCTTTCCTAAAGTTTGGGTCAGTCACAGTGGTCAGGTATTCTGCCACTGTGTACTCTCTGTTTAGGGCCAAATAGCATTCTAGTTTGCTCTGTTTTTTTGTTAATTCTTTCCAATGTGTCAAGTAATTCTCTTTTTGTTTTCTCATGATTTGGTCACTCTCTCTCTCTCTCTCTCGCACGCACGCACGCACGCACACACACCAATCATGTACGCATGTCCTCCTTCAGCGCTTGACGTTCCTCCAACACTCTTAACGCCTGCCAGCACGCCCACACCTCCCACACAGTCATTTAAAAACCCACTCAAGTCCAGGGGAATTCACCACAATGAGTCAACAGCTGTGTTTTAGACCAGGGTCTATTCACTGAGAAAAGTTTTCGGTCTACCTTTGAAATGTCTATTCAAACACCTCATAGCACCCAGCCACACATACTCCCACGGTTTCTTTCTTGTGTGGCTGTAAGGTGTTGCTCTTCATGCCACAGAGCAGAGAGAGAGTCAACTGAAAGGGTAGTATTAGAACATCAGCACTGAGTCGGGGCGGCTGTGTTTGTGTTTGTGTCCTGCTGCTGTCAGCGAGCTAGCTCTCCCTCTTTTTCTCCAGAGTGAATAGAAGTTCCATTACGCACGCAGCCGCCCGTCTTCTTTTCATGGCAGCTGAATGCCATCTCTCTCTCTCTCTCTCTCTCTCTCTCTCTCTCTCTCTCTCTCTCTCTCTCTCTCTCTCTCTCTCTCTCTCTCTCTCTCTCTCTCTCTCTCTCTCCATGAGTGACACAGGGCAGCATGACATCTACCAATCGTACAGAGGAGCATGCCAGTGAATTGTGCGTATGTGTGTCTGTTCCTTTTATGGTCCTTTGCACCCCCATTGTGTTCGTTACCAGTAAGTCTCTCTGCTTGTGTCACGAACTACATCCGTGTCACCCCATTAACAGTAACAACCCCCTACTTCTCTCCACAGATCTGACCTCTCACCCCTGACCTCTGACCCAGTGCCCCCTGCTGGTTCGGGTCACCTTTGACCCTACCGTGATGAGCGTGTGCGGCAGGAAGGCCCTGGCGTTGCTGAGCAGCGTGTTTGCGGTGAGCGGGCTGGGGCTTCTGGGAGTTGCGGTCTCTACAGACTACTGGCTGTACCTGGAGGAGGGGGTCATCCTGCCCCTCAACCAGACCACTGACATCAGGACCTCCCTGCACTCTGGACTTTGGAGAGTCTGCTTCCTGGCAGGTCAGTACCATCTCCAGATGATCCTGGATCAGACCAATTCAGACCAATTCTAGCTGTACACTCTTAGAAAAAAGGGTTCCAAAAGGGTTCTTCAGCTGTCCCCATAGGAGAAACCTTTTTGGTTCCAGGTAGAACCCTTTTTGGTTCCAAGTATAACTATTTTGGGTTCCATGTAGAACCCTCTATGGAAAGGGTTCTACATGGAACTCAAAAGGGTCTACCTGGAACCAAAAAGGGTTATTCAAAGGGTTCTCCTATGGGGACAGCCGAATAACCCTTTTAGAGTGTAACTATTAGATCTGACCCTGTGTCAGTGGTAAGGGACACATTTGCTCCTCTTTGTTTCTCACTGTCTGGTGGTTGTTAGGAATGAGAAGAAGAATGATTAAATAGCAATGTTGAAGCTCTAAAGATTCTTAACACCCCCTAGAGTCGTTGTCCGCGCCCCCACATAAATCTAATTAGCATAATAAAACAATCCTCATAAAAATATGTCAGTTTAAGCTATTGGATGTGTCTCAATCCACCGCATCCGCCGATGTCATACTTCCGCATCTGCGGTGAAAGGTGACAGAGCTAGAGCGGTGTTTGTCAGACCATGAGACATCCAGAAAACCGGTCTTCTCACAAGAGAAGCGTCTGAACGGTTTGGCCTACAACGGTTTGGCCTACAGTTTGACCTAAATATTATGACCCTTCTATGGAACGATGAGACTCTAATGGACACGATGGTGTTCTCCGTTTTGTCTACGACCCCCACAAGCGTCTTGGGACTCGTCTAAAGTCGGTAAAGCCGATCTGTCAACTTCTGTCTGTAGCGTCAAAACAGTTTGGTCTACACACTAATATGACCCCTCTCACGAACACGTACATGTCGGGTGTTTTGCTCTAAGACACCCACCGGCCTCACAAGACTCATCTGAAGGTCCCCCGGTACCAGTTGAAAAAATGAATATGGAGACTTTTTAGTGCCAAAAATAAGGGATTAAATACATGTAAAAAATATATAATAAAAACATGTTTTCTGATCTTCCTTATATCTCTCAGATATAGGACAGACACTTCAGAACAAACTTCCTTTTTTTGGGACTATCTGTTGTTCCATGTAAGAATATGTTATTCAATGCGTTTGTATGGGCTAATAGCAGTAAGGCCAAACATTTGTTTTCATTTATTTTATTTTTTTAAACATTCCATATAGCTTAGTAGAACACATCTCCTTCGCATCGAGTTGATCAGGGTGTTGATTGTGGCCTGTGGAATGTTGTCCCGTTCCTCTTCAATGGCTGTGCGAAGTTGCTGGATATTGGCAGGAACTGGAACACGCTGTCATACATGTCGATCCAGAGCATCCCAAACATGCTCAATGGGTGACATGTCTGGTGAATATGCAGACCATGGAAGAACTGGGACATTTTCAGCTTCCAGGAATTGTGTACAGATCCTTGCGACATGGGGTCGTGCATTATCATGCTGAAACATGAGGTGATGTCGGCGGATGAATGGAACGACAATGGGCCTCAGGATCTCATCACGGTATCTCTGTGCATTCAAATTGACATCGATAAAATGCAATTGAGTGGCATTTTATTGTCCCCAGCACAAGGTGCACCTGTGTAATCATCATGCTGTTTAATCAGCTTCTTGATATGCCACACCTGTCAGGTGGATGGATTATCTTGGCAAAGGACAAATGCTCACTAACAGGAATGTAAACACATTTGTGCAAAACCTTTGAGAGAAATAAGCTTTTTGTGCATATGGAACATTTCTGGGATCTTTTATTTCAGCTCATGAAACATGGGACCAACACTTAACATGTTGCGTTTATATTTTTGATCAGTGTATCTGCACTGGGAGGCAAACCGATGAAGAACACATACACCCTGACCCTATTAAGTGTAGTACTGATGAACAGAAAATTAGGATGATAATAATAAAGAAATAATGTTATTATAAACGTTGAACAATAAATGAAAGTCACAAAGTCCCACTCTATTCACCATTGCAGTGTGATTTATTCAATTAAGTAGTGTATGTGACTTTCATGTCATTTTCATTATTTCCCTCTATCCTAAGCATTTCGCTGCGCACATGCATGCATTCGAAAACTTGATAACCCACCAACGAATGCACACTCACAATGTGGCATACACACACTCACAAGGTACACATATACAGTATGGTTTACACACACAGCAGCCATACAATTGACTGGCATGCTCTTCTGTACGATTGGTAGATTATGTACAATGGGATAATGCTGCTAGATCTCTCAGACAGAGATACATTTCATGCTGCCCTGTGTCACTCAGAGAGAGAGAGAGAGAGATGCTTTGTGAGAAAGGTTTATGAGTCAGTGTGATGTATTAATAAGTGTCTGTCTGAGCTCCTATCATATAGCTCAGTTCAGGTATGACTTTGACTTGGACTCTTGAGATGAATCAGGTGCTACTGATGTCAGAAAGCACTGCATTATTAGATCTGTGTGATCTGGGCAAATTCTGTCTCTAAATGTTATCTCACTGGCACCACCATATCACCAGGTAAAATTCTGAGTATGTGTAAATATACTTGGAGAATAAAGGTGATTCTGCAAGTTTTATATTTGATGTGTATCTTTTTGTAATTACAGGGCTCAACTGTAAAAGAGACCTTGGGCTCAGCATGACTCCCTGTCAAAATAAAGGTTAAATAAATAACCTCTCTATAACCTCTCTATAACCTCTTTATAACCTCTATAATCCCTCTTCTTCTCTTCCAGGTGAAGAGGCAGGTCGCTGTTTCACCATAGAGTACATCATGCCCATGAACTTACAGCTGACCTCTGAGTCCACAGTCAGTGTACTTAGTAAGTTATATTTCTCTCATTTTCCTTCTGGCTGTATCTGTCTTTGATGCTCTCTCTCTATCCCACTCTCTCTCTCGCTCTCTCTCTCTCTCTCTCCCTCTCGCTCTCTCTCTCCCCCTCTCTCTCTCTCTCAATCTTTATTCGCATGATTAGGTGGTTGCCACTGTTGCCAAAGCAATGTATATGAAGTATTACATAATTGAACAATATGCTTAAGCAACAATTTTTTTTATTTTTTTATTTCACCTTTATTTAACCAGGTAAGCCAGTTGAGAACAAGTTCTCATTTACAACTGCGACCTGGCCAAGATAAAACAAAGCAGTGCGATAAAAACAACAACAACACAGAGATACATACAGTGAGTATTTGATCCCCTGCTGATTTTGTACTTTTGCCCACTGACAAAGACATGATCAGTCTATAATTTTAATGGTAGGTTTATTTGAACAGTGAGAGACAGAATAACAACAAAAAAATCCAGAAAAACGCATGTCAAAAATGTTATAAATTGATTTGCATTTTAATGAGGGAAATAAGTATTTGACCCCTCTGCAAAACATGACTTAGTACTTGGTGGCAAAACCCTTGTTGGCAATCAGAGGTCAGACGTTTCTTGTAGTTGGCCACCAGGTTTGCACACATCTCAGGAGGGATTTTGTTCCACTCCTCTTTGCAGATGTTCTCCAAGTCATTAAGGTTTCGAGGCTGACGTTTGGCAACTCAAACCTTCAGCTCCCTCCACGGATTTTCTATGGGATTAAGGTCTGGAGACTGGCTAGGCCACTCCAGGACCTTAATGTGCTTCTTCTTGAGCCACTCCTTTGTTGCCTTGGCCGTGTGTTTTGGGTCATTGTCATGCTGGAATTACCCATCCACGACCCATTTTCAATGCCCTGGCTGAGGGAAGGAGGTTAACACTCAAGATTTGACGGTACATGGCCCCGTCCATCGTCCCTTTGATGCGGTGAAGTTGTCCTGTCCCCTTAGCAGAAAAACACCCCCAAAGCATAATGTTTCCACCTCCATGTTTGACGGTGGGGATGGTGTTCTTGGGGTCATAGGCAGCATTCCTCCTCCTCCAAACACGGCAAGTTGAGTTGATGCCAAAGAGCTCGATTTTGGTCTCATCTGACCACAACACTTTCATCCAGTTCTCCTCTGAATCATTCAGATGTTCATTGGCAAACTTCAGACGGCCCTGTATATGTGCTTTCTTGAGCAGGGGGAACTTGCGGGCGCTGCAGGATTTCAGTCCTTCACGGCGTAGTGTGTTACCAATTGTTTTCTTGGTGACTATGGTCCCAGCTGCCTTGAGATCATTGACAAGATCCTCCCGTGTAGTTCTGGGCTGATTCCTCACCGTTGTCATGATCATTGCAACTCCACGAGGTGAGATCTTGCATGGAGCCCCAGGCCGAGGGAGATTGACAGTTATTTTGTGTTTCTTCCATTTGCGAATATTCGCACCAACTGTTGTCACCTTCTCACCAAGCTGCTTGGTGATGATCTTGTAGCCCATTCCAGCCTTGTGTAGGTCTACAATCTTATCCCTGACATCCTTGGAGAGCTCTTTGGTCTTGGCCATGGTGGAGAGTTTGGAATCTGATTGATTGATTGCTTTTGTGGACAGGTGTCTTTTATACAGGTAACAAGCTGAGATTAGGAGCACTCCCTTTAAGAGTGTATTCCTAATTTCAGCTCGTTACCTGTATAAAAGACACCTGGGAGCCAGAAATCTTTCTGATTGAGAGGGGGTCAAATACTTATTTCCCTCATTAAAATGCAAATCAATTTATAACATTTTTAACATGCGTTTTTCTGGATATTTTTGTTGTTATTCTGTCTCTCACTGTTCAAATAAACCTACCATTAAAATTATAGACTGATCATTTCTTTGTCAGTGGGCAAACGTACAAAATCAGCAGGGGATCAAATACTTTTTTCCCTCACTGTATGGAATAAACAAAAACGTACAGTCAATAACACAATTGAAAATATAAAATCTATATACAGTGTGTGCAAATGTAGTAAGTTATGGAGGTAAGGCAATAAATAGGCCATAGTGCAAAATAATTACAATTTAGTATTAACACTGGAGTGATAGATGTGCAGAAGATGATGTGAAAATATAGATACTGGGGTGCAAATGAGCAAAATAAATAAATGTAAATAACAATATGGGGATGAGGTAGTTGGGTGGGCTAATTACAGATGGACTGTGTACAGGTACAGTGATCGGTAAGCTGCTCTGACAACTGATGCTTAAAGTTAATGAGGGAGATAAGTGTCTACAGCTTCAGAGATTTGTGTAGTTCGTTCCAGTCATTTGCAGCAGAGAACTGGAAGGAATGGCAGCCAAAGAAGGTGTTGGCTTTGGGGATGACCAGTGAGATATACCTGCTGGAGCGCATACTACGGGTGGGTGTTGCTATGGTGACCAATGAGCTAAGATAAGGCGGGGATTTGCCTAGAAGTGATTTATAGATGACCTGGAGCCAGTGGGTTTGGCGACGAATATGTAGTGAGGGCAAGCCAACGAGAGCGTACAGGTCACAATGGTGGGTAGTATATGGGGCTTTGGTAACAAAACGGATGGCACTGTGATAGACTACATCCAATTTGCTGAGTTGAGTGTTGGAAGCTATTTTGTAAATGACATCGCCGAAGTCAAGGATCGGTCGGATAGTCAGTTTTACGAGGGCATGTTTAGCAGCATGAGTGACGGAGGCTTTGTTGCGAAACAGGAAGCTGATTCTAGATTTAACTTTGGATTGGAGATGCTTAATGTGAGTTTGGAAGGAGAGTTTACGGTCTAACCAGACACCTAGGTATTTGTAGTTGTCCACATATTCTAAGTCAGACCCGCCGAGAGTAGTGATTCTAGTCGGGCGGGCGGGTGCAAGCAGCGTTCGATTGAAGAGCATGCATTTAGTTTTACTAGCGTTTAAGAGCAGTTGGAGGCCACAGAAGTAGTGTTGTATGGCATTGAAGCTTTTTTGGAGGTTTGTTAACACAGTGTCCAATGAAGGGCCAGATGTATACAAAATGGTGTCGTCTGCGTATAGGTAGATCTGAGAGTCAACAGCAGCAAGAGCGACATCATTGATATACACAGAGAATAGAGTCAGCTCGAGAATTGAACCCTGTGGCACCCCCATAGAGACTGCCAGAGGTCCAAACAACAGGCCCTCCAATTTGACACATTGAACTCTATCTGAAAAGTAGTTGGTGAACCAGGCGAGGCAGTCAGTTGAGAAACCAAGGCTATTTAGTCTAACAATAAGAATGCGGTGATTGACAGAGTCAAAAGCATTGGCCAGGCCGATGAAGACGGCTGCACAGTACTGTCTTTTATCAATCGCGGTTATTATATCGTTTAGGACCTTGAGCGTGGCTGAGGTGCACCCATGACCAGCTCGGAAACCGGATTGCATAGCGGAGAAGGTACGGTAGGATTCGAAGTGGTCGGTGATCTGTTTGTTAACTTGGCCTTCAAATACTTTCGAAAGGCAGGGTAGGATGGATATAGGTCTGTAACAGTTTGGATCTAGAGTGTCACCCCATTTGAAGAGGGGGATGACCTTGGCAGCTTTCCAATCTCTGGGGATCTCAGACGATACGAAAGAGAGGTTGAACAGGCTAGTAATAGGGGTTGCGACAATTTCAGCATCTAATTTTAGAAAGAAAGGGTCCAGATTGTCTAGCCCAGCTGATTTGTAGGGTTCCAGATTTTGCAGCTCTTTCAGGACATCAGCTATCTGAATTTGGGTGAAGGAGAAGCGAGGGGGGCATGGGCAAGTTGCAGCGGAGGGTGCAGAGCTGGTGGCCGGGGTAGGCGTAGCCAGGTGGAAAGTATGGGCAGCCGTGGCAAAATGCTTATTGAAATTCTCGATTATCGTAGATTTATCGGGTAGTGACAGTGTTTCCTAGCCTCAGTGCAGTGGGTAGCTGGGAGGAGGTGCTTTTATTCTCCATGGACTTTACAGTGCCCCAAAACTTTTTGGAGTTAGTGCTACAGGATGCAAATTTATGTTTGAAAAAGCTAGCCTTTGCTTTCCTAACTGATTGTGTATATTGGTTCCTGACTTCCCTGAAAAGTTGCATATCGCGGGGGCTGTTCGATGCTAATGCAGTACGCCACAGGATGTTTTTGTGCTGGTCAAGGGCAGTCAAGTCTGGGGTGAACCAGGGACTATATCTGTTCTTAGTTCTGCATTTTTTGAATGGGGCATGCTTATTTAAGATGGAGAGGAAAGCACTTTTGAAGAACATCCAGTCATCCTCTACTGACGGAATGAGGTCAACATCCATTCAGGATACCCGGGCCAGGTGAATTAGAAAGGCCTGCTCGCTGAAGTGTTTTAGGGAGCGTTTGACAGTGATGAGGGGTGGTCGTTTGACCGCGGACCCATTACGGACGCAGGCAATGAGGCAGTGATCGCTGAGATCACCTCCACCTTTCCAGAAATAAGTCTCTCACTGTTGCCGCTTGCTACAGACCCCCCGCAGCCCCAAGTTGTGCCCTGGACACCATATGTGAATTGCTTGCCCCCCATCTATCCTCAGAGTTCGTACTGCTTGGTGACCTAAACTGGGATATGCTTAAATATATTTTGATTTGTTTAACACTTTTTTAGTTACTACCTGATTCCATGAGTGTTACTTCATAGTTTTGATGTCTTCACTATTATTCTACAATGTAAAAATGAAGAAAAACCCTTGAATGAGTAGGTGTGTCCAAACTTTTGAATGGTACTGTATATTAAAAATAATATTATTATTTTGAAAGGTAACCGCCGCACCTAAACTTTTATTTTGAAAGGAGACCGCCGCACCGCTTATATGTTGCTGACTTTACACAACGTTACCCTTACACACAGGCCTGCGTGCACTCAGTGTTGCCAATTTAGCGACGTTTGTCGCTATATTTAGCAAGTTTTCAGACCCCTCTAGCGACACATTTTCAAAAAGGCGACTAGCAACAAATCTAGCGACTTTTTCTGGTGTTATTGGAGACTTTTGGAGACTCTGACGTCAAAGTACGTATCGTTCTTACTCTTCTCAACGAGCAGCGGGTGCTGCCGTGGGTGGAGAGAGTCAGCCGACAACAAACTTAAAACCATACCCCTATCCAATGACACCATGAGGAGGAGAATCCAGGACATGTCTGAGGACATAACGCGCCAGACATCAGAGCGAATCAGTGCAAATGGCCATTACGCACTGCAGCTTGATGAATCCACAGATGTGGCTAACCATGCAATTCTAATGGTCTATGTCAGACACATCTGGGATAATAACTTTGAGGAGCAGTTCTTTTTTAGTGCTGATTTGCCCACCACCACCACTGCAGAGGCTGTCTTTAACACAATGGATATGTACTTGGGCTCCATGGGACCGGCCTGGGATGGTTGCGTCGGTGTGACCACTGATGGGGCAGCTGCCATGAAGGGAAAGCACTCCGGAGTAGTAAAGCGGATCCTGGAGAGAGCACCAAGAGCGACGTGGATCCACTGCTTCCTACACAGGGAGGCATTGGCAGCGAAGGACATGGTGCGTGAGCTCCACGCCATTCTCCAGGATGTGATCAAATGTGTCAACTATATAAAAAGAGTTCCACGAAAAGCAGGTGTTTCCAGGCCTTCTGGAGGGATATGGGGAGTGAGCACTAGCAGGTGCTTTATCATGCAGAGGTCCACTGGATTTCCAGAGGTACATTGTTGGGTCACTTTTATGAGCTTCAAGCGGAGATTGCTGCGTTTCTTTCGGAAAACAAGTCACCTCTGGCTGAACATTTCGATTGTGAGGAATGGCTCGCGAAGGTTGCCTGAATTCGCTCAATGTGTCAAAGCACAACCTATTTGAACAGAGCAGGAACAAAGTGGATGCCTTCAAGATTAAGCTTACCATTTGGGCAAGTCATGTTTCAAACGGGAGGATTGACATGTTTCCCAATGCTGATTTCGAGATTCAGAATCTGATCAACAAAGCGCACAGCGACACACTGAAAAAACAAACAGTTAAACAGCATCTTGTTAAGCTGCAGGGAACGTTTTCAACTACTTCCCGGAGGAGAACAGGAGACAAAATGACTGGATACAGGACCCCTTTCGAGTGGAGATGGGAAGCGTCACGTTGCCAAGCAACGAAGAGGATCAGCTGGTGGAGCTGTCATTTGATCGCGGACTGAGCATGCGCTTCCCGGAAACGTCACTGCCACAGTTCTGGTGCAGCGTAACGGGAGAGTATCCTACTCTCGCCTGTCATGCAATCAGAATCATGCTAACGTTCAGCATTACCTATCTGTGTGAAAGTGGCTTCGATGCTATGGCCGTGCTGAAAACTAAAAGCAGAAACAAACTGGACAGCCAGCATGACCTCCGAGTTTCCCTGTCAACCATCACCCCAGACTTCAATAAACATATCAAACTGAAGAAACACCCCCAGTTTTCCCACTGATAGGCCACACACATGCACGCACACACACCCACACACACACAATAAATAAACAGGTAAATGAGTTATTGTTCAGTATGTTCATTATTATTGTTAATTAATTCTGACATTCATATTAAATTTGATTGAACTGGTTAAAAACGTACACCTTTAAAAAAAAACTTTTCAAGGTTGTGAAACTATTCACATGGTAATTGGTGATTACGAGATCCTAATGATTGTTGTTTTTTCTATTTTAAACACTGGTATGTGTTACTGTTCATTAACATTATTGGACTGGTTTTTATGTCATGTTCTGAGTCTAATCATTTATTACACCCTACTCCTGAACTGGTCGCCTAATTAAATGGCTTATTCTCTTGAATTTATAATAAATGTTTTCTCAGTTAATATGGCTGTGTAATGACTTTCTTTAATACCATAATAGTAGCCCATTGAGACAGTCTATTTTGCCTGGCCAAGAAGGCAGCTGCAATACAACATTACAAAATGTAATCATCAACAGTCCATAATATTGGGTCGCGACTCAATTGTCTGTCAATTTTGGGTCCCCAGGCAAAACCAGCTGAGAACCATTGCTCTAAAGGGTCACTCCCTAGGTTGTGGTGTTTGCATAAGAAAGCGCGCGCGCTCTCTCTCTCTCTGTGCAAGTAGATGAAGCACTCTTTGTGTTTTACATTTACATAATTTAGCAGACGCTCTTATCCATAGCGACTTACAGTTAGTGCATACATTATTCTTTTTTTTTTTCATACTGGCCCCCCGTGGGAATCGAACCCACAACCCTGGCGTTGCAAACACCATGCTCTACCAACTGAGCTACCTCCCTGCCGGCCATTCCCTCGCCTACCCTGGACGACGCTGGGCCAATTGTGCGCCGCCCCATTGGTCTCCCGGTTGCAGCCGGCTACAGCAGAGCCTGTGTTCAGAGTGAGTGGGTGGTTATAATACTGAGAATGCACTCAGGACAAACAAGGACAAGTGACACCATTTATCAACATATGGCACCCTCTTCTGGTTACTTTGCTGAACAGTCTTTATACCTGAAAAGCTGAAGCTGAGAGAGTGAGCAGTGTAGCATAGAGAAGCTGTGTGTGCATTGGAAGAAATATTACTGAGGTTTTCTGAGTTCCTGTCAAATGTGGAAACAATATGTTTCAAGGAATGATAATGTCAGGCATGGCTTGTAACCAGCGTTCTAACGTGAAGAAATGGAAGAACAGACTGAATGCGAGAGATAATATATTCACTCTAAAATTGTGCTTCTTTATCATCAGTATTAAAGCTTTCACATCCCCAATTAAGGCTCTAATGCACTTTTATTGAACTTTGTTTTCCTCCTCCTAGAGTGTCTGAATGACGAGCTCCATACACAACAAAGTGAGTCATCAGGACTCCCACTGTCTCTGTCTCTCCACCCTGCTGACTCCTCTCTAGTTCAGAATACTTATTAGGAAATAACTCTGAGGAGTCACACTGAGGGAAGTTTTACTTTCTCTAAAATCACAGCCTCATTAGGTTTTGGTTGATGCCTGTTGAAAGCTCTCTGGTAGATAGGAATATTGTTTGGACCCTCTATGTTCAGAGTTTGTGATAAAGTAGAGTATAAGAGTTTGTAGAAAAGCATAGTTATATGTGTCTGTGAAATTCTGTTTCTGTATAGTAATCACTGTCTTTCTCTATATTGCTGTTTTGGTCTTTTCTCTCTCTCTCTCTCGCTCTCTCTCTCTCTCTCTCAGAGATGATTCGTTCAGCCACTCCGTTTCCTCTGGTCAGTCTGTTCTTCATGTTCATCGGCTTTGTGCTCAACAACATCGGACACATCCGACCTCATCGCACCATCCTGGCCTTTGTCTCTGGAATCTTCTTCATCCTCTCAGGTAATCTTCTCGTCTTCCATCTCTTCCTCATCCTCTTCACCTCCTTTTCTCTCTCCTCTTCTCCCTGCTTCTCCTCCTCCTTGTCTTCTGCTGACACTGCTTCAGCTACTGAATGTGACAATGTCTATCTCTCTAACACAATCACTGTCTGTCTGTCTGTCTGTCTGTCTGTCTGTCTGTCTGTCTGTCTGTCTGTCTGTCTGTCTGTCTGTCTGTCTGTCTGTCTGTCTGTCTGTCTGTCTGTCTGTCTCTGACTGATGTTCAGGCTTTGAAGGTTTGTTTAATCTCTCTCTCTCTCTCTGTCAGGTCTGGCTCTGGTGGTAGGTCTCGTGCTGTATATATCCAGTATTAATGATGAGATGTTGAACAGGACTAAGAGCAGTGAGTCCTACTTCAGCTACCGGTACGGCTGGTCCTTCGCCTTCGCTGCCATCTCCTTTCTGCTCACTGAGGTACAACATTTGTTGTAGAAAAAATCTACATAGTATGATAGTTCACTACCAATTTTATTTATTTATTGTCACATACACCGGATAGGTGAGGTGAAATGTGTTGTTTTACAGGGTCAGCCATAGTAGTACAGCACCCCTGGAGCAAATTAGGGTTAAGTGCCTTGCTCAAGAGCACATCGACTTTTCACCTTGTAGGCTCAGGTATTCGAACCAGCAACCTTTTGGTTACAGCCCAACGCGCTAAGTTATCTGTCGTCTGCTGGTGTGGTACCCTCTCTTCTGGGTCTTCTGGCTCTCTATACTACAGAGCGCAGTGTCCTCTAACCTTTATCGTCTGTCTGTCTGTCTGTCTGTCTGTCTGTCTGTCTGTCTGTCTGTCTGTCTGTCTGTCTCTGTCTCTGTCTCTGTCTCTCTCTCTCTCTCTAGAGTGCGGGTGTCATGTCCGTCTACCTGTTCATGAAGCGCTACACAGCCGAGGAAATGTACCAGCGCCACCACCCCGGCTTCTACCGGCCGCGCCTCAGTAACTGCTCTGACCACTCCGGTCAGTTCTTGCACCCGGAGACCTGGGCACGTGGACGCAGCCCCTCGGACATCTCCAGCGAAACCTCGCTCCAGATGAGCGCCAGCTACCCGGCCCTGCTCAAGTGCCCCGACTACGACCAGGTCTCCTCCTCGCCCTGCTGAAGGGGTCATCAGGTCAGGGCAGGTCGCCAGGGGTCAAGGGTGAGAGGTCATAGGTGATGTTGCTTTTAGATACTGATCTAAGGTCAGCTTTCTTTTTTCTTTGTTAAGTTATCTGGAATCTAGGGAGGGTTGCTGGGTGTGGATCGAACCACCCGCCTGCTTAGTTTACTGGGAGATCAGTCCCAATAGAGAGAGGCTTCCCTGTATGTCACTTTATTTTGTTGTTGTTCGTTCCCATTGTGATGCTGTGTCCTGGACCTTGTTTGAATACTGCAACCAACCATGATTGCTGCTGAGGCAACAGTTGATGCCGCTGTACCATATCTTACCTACAGATGGCAGCAAAGTGCAGAGTTTTTTCAGGAGTATTCACTTCTCACATATATTTTCTATTATATTAGGATACTGCCACTGCTTAATTAACTTGATGAGGACCAAACTAACATTTACACAAATGTTTGAATGGGAACAAAACATGTCACTATGTTAAAGTGGCAATTAGCGGTTGAAACAATAACAAAGTGATTTCCCCACCCCTGTTTCAGTAAAAAGCTGAGGGATGGGGCTGGAGAAATGGAACCACTCTCAAATTCATAGACAGAGCTATGGATGCAAGGACTGGCCATCCATGATATCAAAATTATAGTTACCATATTTTGAAGCTATATAGTGTTTGTTTACAAACATTGTCGTGAAACAAGCTTTTATTTTGGGTTCTGATGGGGTACGACAGTTGAACTAAGCACATGAGGCATTTGTAATATTATAACATCATATTCTTTAGAGGTCCAAGCAACTGCAGATTGCACCTTTAAATGTGTATGTGTAATATGTTAAATTGTGTAGTTTGCTTCATGTTGGAGTTTTTTAATTGATGTGTCCCTGCTGACTCATGGATCTGCCAACATTACGTTTTCATGTTTACGGAATCTCCCCCCAAACAATGCCTTATTTATCTATAATGTAAAAATGAATTATTTTAAAGTTATTGGTATTCATTCTTAGACATATTTTTTATACATGCATATTTATAACTGTTGTACATTGTATGAATATAGCGAACTATTGTAAAACAAGTAAAATGTGTAGTTGTGGCTTAAATTGATTAATTCTGAGTGTAAGCTTCAGGCCTTCAGCATAGCAACTGTTGCATACAAACTGTACTGTACAATATCTGGAGAATATCTAAATGTGGGAAATAAATAGACTTTGTGAAATCTTTTTAATGACATTGCCTGTGTATGGACTGCAAAGATATTGATGTTTCATTTCATTCATTAACTCAGGCCGGTTTCGTGATACTGATGGTTTGAGAACTAACAGCAGGTTAGGAGAATTAACGGAGGTTAGGAATATGGTTAGGGTTTAGCTCAAATGCAATTGTCAACAACTGCTATCCCCAACGTGACATCTAGATGGCACTGTACTGGTAGCCGCAACCGTACAAACCATCAGTCTCGACAAACCATCAGTATCATAACACCGGTTTTGCTTCCATGTATTGTAATGTCACATCAATACACTGGGAGTCAGTGTTGCATCACTTACACTATAAAGCAGACAGAATCCCTTCAGGTCAGAAGGGTATAGAATCAGGAAGTAAACACCCGTCTGCCCACTAAGAACTCTGTCCCCCTCTTTCAAATGATCTATTTGCACGCCTTATCTAGGCACAGTGTATCTATTTATTGGCCAATTAAGGGGGGAACTCATATTACTCTGACCTTTTCTACATCTGTTTGCTGATCGATAAAGGGTTTCTCATAGACTTTAACCATCAGTAAAGGGTTTCTCGTACTGTAGACTTTTTACACCACTCCATATTGACCATCTGTCTCTAAACAGTTGGTTGGTTCCTGTTCAGGACATGTTTCTTTTTTTTCAGTTACATTTTCTTTTCCACTGCTTTTCCACCATATAATAAACAGGCAAATATTGTATCTAAAGACTATTTAAATAATTACTACCCATGACAGTTGGTACTTAAAAGATTAACATAAATTAAGAAATGAATTACCTATGCTACATGACCTACTAAGTTTAATAAAATATACATTTCAGCATATTATCTATTGATAACTGGATGATTAATTGCATATGCAAATATGTAGGTCAAGCTCAATAAATAATAAATAAATGCGTCGTACAATGGATGTAGTCTTTATGTATACTTTATGTAGCTTTCCACGTAATGTACAACGTGACCAATAGCTTTTACTGAGATATAAAAGTTAATTTAGCTATAGCCCCACACAAGGGGCAGTAGTAGGTAATATTCTGCCCTGAGATCAGGGGTCATATCTTACAAACACATAGAAAAACTCTACTGGATTCAACTTCATCAGTCAGCATTATAGTTTTGATATCATCACTTTCATCATCATCATCATCATCATCATCATCGTCATCATCAATATTACTACCACCCGTATCCTGTTCATCCTCATCATCAACATCTGCCTTATCATAATCACCCCCATCATCATCCTCCTCATACCTGCTGGAAATGGACTTTTCCTGACATCACGTTATATAGTATTTGTTTATGATCATTTTTAAGACTTGTGTACAAAAGACCCCAAACTTGACCTGATGCAAAGTACAGCCAGTAGGAGTAACATGTTTCAGAGTGTGCATACAACAACAAAAAGGAGACCCATAAAACCTATACATTATTTACATATACATAACTTAAGTCTATAGTTTTAACAGTTACGGACAGAATGGAACCATTTGACATAGAAAATAAATACAAACAAAATAGTAGATTATATTTTTTAAGGGGAACACAAAAAGCAAGCAAGGATCTTAGGTTAAAAATAAAAAGCATGCGGGTCACATCAATGCATCGCCCCTCACTGACACTGTTGGCTAGGTTTGGACCTCGAGACACTGAAAGAAAAGCTTAAAATGACTGGTACCCTATTGGGCTGTTTCACAAACCCATATTCAAGCCTACTCTTAGACTACAACGCATTTTCAAAGTACGTTCAATTGCATTGCAGACACTCCATTGAAAATGATTTTCAATCCAATAGTAGGCTAAATATAGGTCCATGTAACCACCCCTATAATTCACAACCAAAGTAAAAAGTATGCACATTTAAATATTCTGTGGTCCACACAATGCATGAAATCAGTCCAGCTGACTCAAGACTGTAATGTTGTAGTTTTTCTAGTTTTTTGTTCTTCCTAATTTCAGCACTAACCTAGCTTTGTATTCTGAGAAAAAGAGTTGAGCACCATAGTGAGATGATTACATGGTTCATGTTCAGGGCCATTAGTGTAAGGCCCAGATTTGTTCCTGGTCAAGTCACATGGTCATGTACAGTTACTGCAGCCCTGGAACTTTCTCTCCTTCCCTCCCTCTCTGACACTCACTCCATCTCTCACATCCCCTCTCCTCTTTCTGCCATGTCTCTCTATCCACCTGAACATACACAAGAGGAACATTTTTTTCTCCTGTCTTCATAAATGATCACACACAAACCTTTCTGATGGATGTCAGAGATTATATTAAGATAGTCGCTCTGTTAAATGTCTGCTGTTGGCTTGCACACTGCTGTGTTTACATACATACAGTTGAAGTCGGAAGTTTACATACACTTAGGTTGGAGTCATTAAAACTCGTTTTTCAACCACTCCACAAGTCATTTTTCCAACAATTGTTTAGACAGATTATTTCACTTATAATTCACTGTATCACAATTCCAGTGGGTCAGAAGTTTACATACACTAAGTTGACTGTGCCTTTAAACAGCTTGGAAAATTCCCGAAAATGATGTCATGGCTTTAGAAGCTTCTGATAGGCTAATTGACATCATTTGAGTCATTTGGAGGTGTACCTGTGGATGTATTTCAAGGCCTACCTTCAAATGCAGTGCCTCTTTGCTTGACATCATGGGAAAATCAAAAGAAATCAGCCAAGACCTCAGAAAAAACATTGTAGACCTCCACAAGATGGTTCATCCTTGGGAACAATTTCCAAATGCCTGAAGGCACCACATTCATCTGTACAAACAATAGTACGCAAGTATAAACACCATGGGACCACGCAGCCGTAATACCGCTCAGGAAAGAGACGTGTTCTGTCTCCTCGAGATGAACGTACTTTGGTGCGAAAAGTGCAAATCAATCCCAGAACAACAGCAAAGGACCTGGAGGAAACAGGTACAGAAGTATCTATATCCATAGTAAAACGAGTCCTATGTCGACATAACCTGAAAGGCCGCTCAGCAAGGAAGAAGCCACTGCTCCAAAACCGCCATAAAAAAGCCAGACTAAGGTTTGCAACTGCACATGGGGACAAAGATCGTACCTTTGGAGAAATGTCCTCTGGTCTGATGAAACAAAAATATAACTGTTTGGCCATAATGACCATCGTAATGTTTGGAGGAAAAAGGGGAATGCTTGCAAGCCGAAGAACACCATCCCAACCGTGAAGCACGGGAGTGGCAGCATCATGCTGTGGGGGTGCTTTGCTGCAGGAGGGACTGGTGCACTTCAAAAAAAAGATGGCATCATGAGGAAGGAAAATTATGTGGATATATCGAAGCAACATCTCAAGACATTAGTCAGGAAGTTAAAACTTGGTCGCAAATGGTCTTCCAAATGGACAATGACCCCAAGCATACTTCCAAAGTTGTGGCAAAATGGCTTAAGGACAACAAAGTCAAGGTATTGGAGTGGCCATCACAAAGCCCTGACCTCAATCCTATAGAAAATGTGTGGGCAGAACTGAAAAAGCGTGTGCAAACCTGACTCAGTTACACCAGCTCTGTCAGGAGGAATGAGCCAAAATTCACCCAATTTATTGTGGGAAGCTTGTGGAAGGCTACCCGAAACGTTTGACCCAAGTTTAACAATTTAAAGGCAATGCTACCAAATACTAATTGAGTGTATGAAAACTTCTGACCCACTGGGAATGTGATGAAAGAAATAAAAGCTGAAATAAATCATTCTCTCTACTATTATTCTGACATTTCACATTCTTAAAATAAAGTGGTAATCCTAACTGACCTAAGACAAGGAATATTTACAAGGATTAAATGTCAGGAATTGTGAAAAACTGAGTTTAAATGTATTTGGCTAAGGTGTATGTAAACTTCCGACTTCAACTGTACATGCATAGATACTGTGTAGATACACACACAAGTTAGCACACCCACTTCTCACGCACTTTATGATATATCTACAAACAGACATACATGCATGTGCTTCTGATAAATGGCAGTTTTGCTTTTCAAGTCATCCAAACGCAGAAGACACCTAGAAAGCAGGGGTTAGAACCGGTTCAGGGAACAGAACAGAAAAATAAAGAAATGTTTTGAGGAACGGAAACAGAACCGTGTACGAAAGTGATCTCTAGTGTTCCGCAACATAACTGTTATTTTCAAATCTTGAGAATCAGGTAATAATGTTATTTTGAGTTCCAAAAATATTCCTAATTTATAGTATATCATATTCTGTAATTTGGTGAAGTTAGAATGCTAGTAATAGCCTACACACATTCCAATTCAAGTCATGTCATGATGTTTAGCGCTTCAAGCCAAGCCCCCTCCATGTCCACCCCTCTCTCTCACTCTTGCCCCACCCATGAAGTTTCAGTCGCATCTCGCACCTGCAATTATCTGACCAATTAAACATGTAAACAACGATCTAACCCATTCCATAGCAAGCTGCTCTATCGGCACTAATTGGTGGAGTAAATATTAGCTAAATGTAAAAACACGTTGATTTCACAGGTAAAAAAATTACGAAAAGGAACTATATGAACCGTTACTTTTTTGGGGTTCGAACCGGTTCAGAACTTTATTTTCTGGTCGGAACACCGGAACGGAATGAAATAAATATGGGTTCTGCTCGGAACGGAACGATTGGGAAATAATTTCCATTCCAACCCCTGCTAGAAACACATGGAAGTAATCAGAAGCAGTGTGGGAAACACAGGAGGGCATTGCGGGGGAGTAAAGAGACGAGACAGAGAGAGAGAGAGCGAGCGAGAAAGAGAGAGAGTGTTAATACAGGTTAATATATCCCACTTGCTTCCCTTGGTAGTCTGTAGTGTAGCTGAACCACACTGGTGCTATAGAGGGATGTCTCCCTATGTTGGCCCATATATTGGTCCTCTGCTTTAGTCCTGGGACATCATGTCATGTCCCTGTCACTCCAGCCCCTGGTACTGCAGCCAGGGCTAGGGAAGTGTCCAGAACGGGGAGGGGGGTTGTCTTCAAGACCGGAGCCTTTCCTCATTGCCTTCAAGACCGGGTGGGAGTTCTATCAGGATCTGAAGGGTCAGATGGCTATCTTTGGTTGGCCATCCATCTCTCTAGTGACAAGTTGAGTTCTGGGGGTCCAGGGCGAGAGGGATAGTAGGGAGGGAACTTCATGAGTGGAGTCTGTCCGTGGGAGTGGAGGGAGGGAGGGGGGGGGATTGTGGAAGGGGTGTTTAATTTCATGAGTAAAGTCTGTCTGGGGAAGAGGATTGGTGGGCTGAGGGAAGGGGGTTTGGGGTGCACTGGGATGAGGGGTGTCCCGGGAAGGAATGTCCCTCCTCACTTCTTGTTGGCGATCCGTCTCTTCCTGGTGGCCAACATATCGTAGAAGGGATCCCTGCTGATGCTCGCCCTGGAACAGCCAATCAAAACAAATATATAATAATACGCCAAGGGGAAACTTGAGCATCTTTGATATGGAAATGCAGCCACATTTCTACAAAACCCATGCCTTAATAACTAACTAGATCAAAAAAATTAAAGTTTGTTCGGTGACCTAGTTTTGTTTCCATGGTTTCTGAAGAGAACCTATCCACCCCCTTTTTTCTTATTTTCCTCAGCACTCCGGTTCCATCTCTTTCAGAGATTCTGTGGAATGTCGTTCCCTGATTCCCTGTTCTAGAACCCTTCCAAGTGTTCTCATTCTAGCACACTCTCTCCTCTCTGCAGTTTTCCAGGTTTATAGGTTGGAGTGCAGGGGAAACAATAGCGCTCTAAATTATCAACACTCCCTTCTCTTTTTTTCTGGGAGAGAAGGCACTCTGCACAAAGCGAAGTGAGTCAGAGAGCCATTCTGGCTCCGGCACAGAGCGCAGTTTCAGTTTCACGGGTGTAAAATCCTGTTAGCACCAGCACAAAGCCAAAACCGGCTCAACCCCCCACTGTGGATTCTCTCTCTCTTACTCCCTTTACATTGAGCCCCATATATGACTATGTCTCTGAGCTATGACAACAATTCCTCTCCTTTTTTTTAGGTTTGGTTATTTACCGCAACCTAATTTCAGAAAAACAAAAGAAGAAACCCCGGGGTGCCTTTCTTTCTGGAAATAAATTAAACAGAGAATGAAATAGGATCAAGTTTATCCATGAAAAGACATTGCGACACATTGAAATGGATATGAATATGTTACCAAATATTGACTTATTACAATGGCGCTACAGTATAGCAAATATATTGAGTTAGCCTACATAAAATGTATTTGATACAGTTATATAAGAGCTTCATAGTCCAGTTCAGAATTTTCCAAACTCACACAGATTGTCCCCTAAAAGTAGTCTTAACTGTTTATTTAAAAACTGTCCTAAATCGTGATTAAAGATAAGAGGATAAGGAGATTGACTATATGACCATCCCTATTTTACTGAGGAAATGTGAATGACATGAAAGCCTTTTATCTTGGCTAAATCCTTCTTGACTACCTCTGGAGAAGATAACACACACACACTGCATGGTGCTTGTTAGCCTCTGTGGCTACAGGGGGGAAGCGCTGGGGCTTTAGCCCAGTTTTGAGCCTCCTTTCCTGGTCAGGCTAGCTGGGCTCGCTCCCCATCCCCCGAGGTGCTTTAAGCGGTAACGAATCCTTCCCGATTTCCCCTGGGGGAGTTAACTATCATTGTAGCCTAGATAGTGAATGTGGTGGAGAGTGGAGGGAAGCTAACTAGCATTGTAGCCTAGATAGTGAATGTGGTGGGGAGGGGTTTTGGGAAGCTAACTGGCATTAGAGCCTAGATAGTGAATGTGGTGGGGAGTGGTTTTGGGAAGCTAACTAGCATTGCAGCCTAGATAGTGAATGTGGTCGGGAGTGGTTTGGGAAGCTAACTAGCATTGCAGCCTAGATAGTGAATGTGGTGGGGAGTGGTTTTAGGAAGCTAACTAGCATTGCAGCCTAGATAGTGAATGTGGTGGGGAGTGGTTTTGGGAAGCTAACTAGCAGTGCAGCCTAGATAGTGAATGTGGTGGGAAGTGGTTTTGGGAAGCTAACTAGCAGTGCAGCCTAGATAGTGAATGTGGTGGGGAGTGGAGGGAAGCTAACTATCATTGTAGCCTAGATAGTGAATGTGGTGGAGAGTGGTTTTGAGAAGCTAACTAGCAGTTTTGAGCCTCCTTTCCTGGTCAGGCTAGCTGGGCTCGCTCCCCATCCCACGGGGTGCTTTAAGCGGTAACGAATCCTTCCCGATTTCCCCTGGGGGAGTTAACTATCATTGTAGCCTAGATAGTGAATGTGGTGGAGAGTGGAGGGAAGCTAACTAGCATTGTAGCCTAGATAGTGAATGTGGTGGGGAGGGGTTTTGGGAAGCTAACTGGCATTAGAGCCTAGATAGTGAATGTGGTGGGGAGTGGTTTTGGGAAGCTAACTAGCATTGTAGCCTAGATAGTGAATGTGGTGGGGAGTGGTTTTGGGAAGCTAACTAGCATTGCAGCCTAGATAGTGAATGTGGTCGGGAGTGGTTTTGGGAAGCTAACTAGCATTGCAGCCTAGATAGTGAATGTGGTGGGGAGTGGTTTTAGGAAGCTAACTAGCATTGCAGCCTAGATAGTGAATGTGGTGGGGAGTGGTTTTAGGAAGCTAACTAGCATTGCAGCCTAGATAGTGAATGTGGTGGGGAGTGGTTTTGGGAAGCTAACTAGCAGTGCAGCCTAGATAGTGAATGTGGCGGGGAGTGGAGGGAAGCTAACTATCATTGCAGCCTAGATAGTGAATGTGGTGGGGAGTGGAGAGAAGCTAACTATCATTGTAGCCTAGATAGTGAATGTGGTGGAGAGTGGTTTTGAGAAGCTAACTAGCATTGCAGCCTAGATAGTGAATGTGGTGGGGAGTGGTTTTAGGAAGCTAACTAGCATTGCAGCCTAGATAGTGAATGTGGTGGGGAGTGGTTTTGGGAAGCTAACTAGCAGTGCTGCCTAGATAGTGAATGTGGCGGGGAGTGGAGGGAAGCTAACTATCATTGCAGCCTAGATAGTGAATGTGGTGGGGAGTGGAGAGAAGCTAACTATCATTGTAGCCTAGATAGTGAATGTGGTGGAGAGTGGTTTTGAGAAGCTAACTAGCATTGCAGCCTAGATAGTGAATGTGGTGGGGAGTGGAGGGATGCTAACTAGCATTGCAGCCTAGATAGTGAATGTGGTGGGGAGTGGAGGGATGCTAACTAGCATTGCAGCCTAGATAGTGTATGTGGCGGTCAGGAGTCTTACTTTATGGATTTGATCCACTCCTCTTTCTCCTCAGTCGTGGGCGCTGATATCCTGTACACCGTGTGGTTGCCCTCGACGACCCGGCCGTCCGCCTCCGTCTTACACGCCTTGATCACCGAACCCTTGTGGTTGGGGTTGTAGAGCTCGAAGCAGTTCTGGGGGGGGGGGGGCAAGGTGGTGGTGAAAGGGTGGTAGCATTGTAGCATAATCCCAACAAGGTGGAGGTGAAAGGGTGGTTGTATTGCCCAACATTAGAGAGACCCCATCCCCAACTAGGTTACATGTTCCAGGTCAAATACATTACTAGAAATATGCAAGACTATGTTGACTTTTGACCCCTGGTGATATCATGGGTTGGGTTTCTCCACTGGATGAGTGGAACCTTGTGGATGAGGTTGACTACCAGTACCACCTAATATAATAGTGACATAATAACGGTTCATAAGGGCTATGATGCAGTATCATGAAGCACTCACTGGTTTCCTGGGTTCCTCCACTTCTCTGATACTGAGGTTCTCTAAGGGGATGATCCCACGAGGCTCCTTATCCTGGAGGGGGGGGGAAGAGAGAGAGAGAGAGAGAGAGAGAGCGAGAGAGAGAGAGAGAGAGAGAGAGAGAGAGAGAGAGAGAGGAGCGAGAGAGAGATAGAGAGAGAGAGAGAGAGAAGGAGGAAGAGAGAGAGAGAGAGAGAGAGAGAGAGAGATCGAGAGAATAGAGAGAGAGAGAGAACAAGAAATGTGCTTGTGACATTGTTTCATAGACTGGAAAACAACCTTCATTCCCCTCTGCTCTGCTCTCTCTAATATAACTAATGATGTTAGTGTCCGGCAGGCAGGCAGTCTGGAGGACAGAGAGATAAGTATATGATCCACTAGGATAATACAAGGGTAGAGGACAGACTGCTGATAAAGCAACTATCTCTGGATAGAGAGGCAAATGCTATGATAAAGATACTGCGATAAAGAGCTTCCAGTTATACTACCACATGTAAGCGCATGTACACACACACACAGGCAAAAAGCGTACTTGCCTAAAATACTGCACTCGCACACATGCATGCACACACACACGCATTCATGCACACATACACACACAGACTTACTGTTGTGTACTCAAAGTAGTACAGGCAGTTGTCTGTCAGGATAAACCACCTTCTCTTCCAGGTCTTCACTCTTCCCCCTGAGACAGGAAATAGGAAGTGGAAACAGGAAGTGATGACACAATGGTATTAGTGACGGACTGACAGCCTCCACCATACTCCTCACAGTATGAAAAAACAGGAGGAAGGCACTCCAACAAGACCAGAGGTGGAAAATAGGCAAAGTAATGGCCACCTTGACCACAACAACGTGACAGCTCTAGTGTTACAAATCAGCCACCCCTCTTTGAGAATATGAGCAAGAGAAAGAAATATGAGCATGTGTAAAGAAATTCGAAAGTTGCTGTGAGATTTGACTCAAACAATGGCATAAAATCTATATACTGCATGTAAAGCATGTATACCACTGGCACAGGAGAAATTGAAGATGAGTGTGAGAGAGTATGAGAGAGAGAGAGAGAAAGAGAGAGAGAGGAGAGAGAAAAGAGAGTGAAAAGAGAGAGGAGAGAGAGAGACAGAGGAGAGAGAGCGAGAGGAGAGAAAGAGAGAGGGAGAGAAAGTGAGAGAGAGAAAGAGAGAGAGAGGAGGCAGAAAACGACGAGAGAAGAAAGAGAGAGAGAGATGAGACAGAGAGAGGAGAGTGGAGAGAGAGACAGAGAGAGACAGAGACCTTAAAGTACACTTCCTCTAAAACAGCCCATCCTCCTCCTGTGTTTGAATGGAGCTAAGACACAGAAAGATCAAAGCCAATGAACTCTGCTGTTGGTACTTGGCACCACTGATTGAGAGGTGATGCAATTCCATCACAGGATTTGTTCAGCAACGTGATTGGTTACACCATCTCTTCCAGTTACTGCATAGTGAATGTTATGGAAATGATTACTCACACAACTTCTGAATTATTGCTAACTTTGCTCATCCATTTTTTAGAGGCAATGGAATAAAATGCTATTGGATCTCCAGAAGAAGGAAGGTACACACTTGATATGAACCTAACTTGGCATCTAAAACACCCTTGGAGGAATAATACACACACACATACACACATGCACACACACACCAAACCCCCAAGCAAATATTATTACGTTTTGTAGCATGGGTATACCAAATCAGAGGGGTAGAGAGGGGGGCAACACACAGTTCAAATAGTTTTTAACAGAGTTCCCCCTTAGGCAACTACAGCCCAATACAGTGCAGCGTTCAGCTGAAATGAAACACGCAAACACAGTGATACAAGGCAGGGATGCTGAGAAGACTTCCCTGTTGGAAGACAGCAATAAAAATACTCCAATACTGTGTTGGAAAATGGAGAACACACACACACACACACACACACACACAGCCCTCAGCACTGGCAGTGGTATTCACATAAAACCATACTAAATACAGCTGGCTGTTTGTTTGTGAGTGGAGCAGGCATTCAAGACATTCAAATTGATGTTTTTCTTTCCACAGTCACATTTCAGTGCTATGCCGATTATCTGTGTATTAGTTGGGTAAACTGGGCTACCATGTTGTACATGCCACACAAATAAGCCCTGATCCAATTTGATACTTTTGAGTTACAAAGTGGTGGTTGTTTTTTGCTCTCTGTGTGTCTCCATTCTATCCATTATATTTCTACAATTGATAGTCATTACAGTTTTTTACGATTGCTTACACACTAAAATTAAACTTTTCCCACAATTAGCAAAACCTTACACTCAAGGAGCAAAACACAAGGCTAGATTTGCACAACTGTAAGCACATTGTCAGCTTCACACTATTTGCAAAACATTACACACAGTGATTTGCAAAACACTAAACACACTTGTATACATCAGACACAGAAGTATATCATGATGTCACTCCCTTGCAATTCCAAAGCACTGACTGTCAAATTACCACATCTATGAGCCAATCTGTTAAACACAGCCATCAGGTGCACAACCACATGATTGCTAAATTGTAGACACACCAATCAGGTTTAAGCACTATAAAAATGCAGCAGGTAGGTTCACCTGCCTTCAACCAAAATGGAAGGAGTCAGAAGAAGAGTGAGGGTGAGAGGAGGAGTACACAGACGGGGAGAAGGAGGTAGAGGAAGAGGCAGAGGCCGAGCCAGAGGTCGAGGAAGACCTGAAGCAGGAGGAGAACGTGCACAAAGAAGAAGAGGACCAAACTTATCAAATGACATTCGTGCAACACTAGTGGACCATGTTGTGAACCACGGATTGACGCTGAGAGAGGCTGGACTGAGAGTTCAGCCAAATCTTAGCAGATATACAGTGTCATCTGTCATAAGGACTTTTCGACAGGAAAACAGATAAAAGAAGATCTGTCTACAGTTACAGTAATCAGCCGCTTATTGTATGCACCATATCAGCACTTGTGATACCCCTTCCTGTGACATTGTACAGTAAGTTACATGTATTATTCTCTACATAGGATTGAGGGTCGGGAACGACAAGGAGGAAGGGGGCCCATATTCACGCAAGAACAAGAGAGAGAGATAATAAACATAGTTTTGGCCAATAATGCTATCAGGCTCAGAGAACTACAAGCCAACATTATCGGTGACCATGCCATTTTCAATAATGTCCATCAGGTCTCTCAGTCAACACTGGCACGCATCCTGAAAAGACATCAGGTTCAAATGAAACAACTTTATCGAGTGCCTTTTGAGCGGAATTCAGAGAGGGTCAAACGGCTGCGGCATGAGTATGTGGAGGTTTGTATTGTTCACTTTAGCACTGTGATGTTGCATACTGCACACATTACTTTTTTACATTGACTGTATACTAGACCTATCCTGAACTACACAATCTTGTCTTTCACTGTATTTCAGAGTTTTGCAGATGGATGCTGAGGAAATCCTGCATGAATTCATATATATTGATGAGGCAGGGTTCAACCTCACAAAAGCAAGAAGGAGAGGCAGAAATATCATTGGCCACAGGGCTATAATCAATGTCCCAGGGCAACGTGGGGGTAACATCACCCTTTGCGCTGCCATTTCACAGCATGGGGTTCTCCTCCGTCATGCCAAAATGGGCCCTTACAACACACCTCACATTCTCGCATTTTTGGACCGATTGCACCACATCGTCACAGCAGGTAATGAAATGCACCAGATGCAATACACTGTCATCTGGGACAATGTGTCATTCCACCGCTCTGCTTTGGTCCAGAACTGGTTTCAAACCATCTACAGTTGACAGTACTATACCTTCCACCATACTCTCCGTTTCTAAACCCTATCGAATAGTTTTTCTCTACATGGCGGTGGAAGGTTTACGATCTCCAGCCCCAGGCTCAGGTACCCCTCATTCAGGCCATGGAGGACGCCTGTGACCAAGTCGACGCCGCAGCTGTGCAAGGATGGATTCGACATTCAAGACGGTTCTTCCCGCGTTGTCTTGCTAATGAGGATATTGCTTGTGATGTTGATGAAATTCTCTGGCCAGATGCAGCTAGGCGAAGAGATAATGTATAGTATGTTTACTGTAGTATTTTCTGTACAATATTGTCCGTTTTTTTCGGATTATTTTTTTATGTTTGTTGTTGTTATTTACTGTAATTGTAACCTGTACTGGATACAGTATTTTACGTGTGTCTATTGTTTGCTGAGCTAACAGTGTTATGCACACTACTGTAGTAGCATGAAAACTGGGACATGTTTTGTTGTGATTCTCCATGTTGACATGTTGACTGATTTGGGTATATGGAGAGAAATAAATGATATTTTCCTCAGTCTGCAGCATTGGTCTTGTGTAGTGTTTGTATAGTTGCACTTTCTCTGTGTACTTCATTTACAGTACTCTAATCACTGAGAATTAGACTTGCTAAAAGTGTTTTAGGTTAGCAACAGCAGTGTGTAACTGGTTCAAAAAGATTGAAGTCATATGAAATGTGTGTGTTTCGTATGGTAACAAAATATTGTTTTTATGAAGTCGTGTATAGTTTTGACAAAAGTGTTCCATTTTGCAAATGATCTGAAGTGTTGTGCTACTTTGGTGTAGGGTTGTGCTAATTGTGTGTAGTGTTTTGACAAACCGGGCCCTGTTTTCAAAATTGTGCTTAAACAATTGAAAAAAACTGTAATCCACAGCTGAGAATATCTGGAATGATCCTGTTTTCCGTTTGTTTTTTTGCCCTCCAGGTGAGACATGTCATAGGATGTGGTGTGGCAGGCTGACATCTTGTGGTTTCCTGGGTGTGTGTGAGTGGGATTTGTCCTAACAAAGTTATTGTGGGAAAGCTTTGTCCCAACATTCCTACAGAGCTCATCACTGACCATCCCTTAGTGCAGTAGTGTCCATGGAAAAACACATGTTTGTAACGCACACTAAGTACTACCAGAGAGTTTTTAGTACCATCTAATTCATTTAATTGAATCTCTCATTTCCTTTCTGTCTTTTAGTCGATAAGTCCATGCTAAAAAGTCACTAATCATATACACGCTGTTTC